GTGGCTATAACAAGTTAAAACTGAGTCTCTGTGGATACGACCCGACTTACCGCTATTACAATTTTGGTTGTAAATTAGCTTGTAGTTGGAACTTATTATTTGGTGGACTCGGCATCCGTCAAATTTTTTCCAGAAACCCATTTCATAAATATGCTCAGCCTCATATTCCTTCAGAAAACTATGCCTGACCTTGTAACAGTTTCGAAATATATGCTCTGTTTGTATTAAAATTCATCCTTTTTGCACCTATCAAAGACCAATCAATAATTAAATTAAAGGGGTTCTATAAGCTATATAAACATTACAATATGTACTAGATTCATTATAAAAACATGTTTAAATATAAGCTTATCAGTGAAGAGCAAGAAGAAGAAAAGAATCAATTTCAGGAATCCTATAAGTTAAAGTTAGTGATTTATCAACTAGATTCAGGGACCGTTTACCCAACACTATAATTTATTTTATCAGATAAGATTATAGTATACTAAAATGGTATCGTATGCAACAATTTACCAAGTAAACGCTTACCTGGATAAGAGTCTACACCGTCGCTTATCGGGTAAGACTCTCTATCTCTATCATCGCTCTTACCGGGTAAGATTTTCAACCCTTGCCATGTACATTAGGTAAGGAAAGTTACCCGATCCATACTTCCCTATGTTGAATCTGCTTGAAAGAGTGAGGAAGTTTTTTTTTTTTGGGGGGGGGGGGGGGATGGGTTAGCTTCTAAAATGGCTTGGATAAAATGGATTAACGTTCTTAAAGACTTCGAGAGGGGAGGGCTTAATATCGGTAGTCTCAAGGCCCATATGAGCCTTTTAACTAAATGGTGGTGGCGTTTTTTCAGGGAAGAAAATTATTTTTGGGGTTGGGTAATTAAATGTTTATACGGGAGGGAAGGTGGTTTTAATCTTTCTGGAGCTAGGCTTAGGAAAGTTGGTTTGACTTGGGGTGGAATCTTAAAAGCAGGAGTGATTTAGATCGGTTTAGGGTAAATTTCCGTTCTTCTTTTGAAAATTTTATCGGGGATGGAAAGATACGTTTTTTTGGGTTGACAAATGGATGGGTAATTTCAAATTACGTGACAGTTTCCTTAGCTTGTTTCTTTGGAATGCAACCTTGAAGTCAAAGTTGGAGATCACGGCACCTGGATTGAGGGGTTGTGGATGTGGATGTGGATGTGGAATTGGAATTAGGTTCGTCCTCCTCGGGGGAGGGCTTCAAGCGTTTTTTTTTTCTGAGTTAATTTCTTTGTTGCAGAATGTTTCTCCTAAGGTCACTGGTAGGTATTCCGCTCGTTGGTTCCTTACTTTGGAAGGATCTTTCACTACTTCGTCTCTTCGGCATATAACAGATGGTTACTTTATGCAATCTTGTCCCGATGATAAAGCCATGTAATGGAACAAGTTAGTTCCTACGAAAGTGAACGTCTCTATTTGGAGGGCTCTGCGTAACAAATTACCGGTTCTTCAAAAGCTCAATAGAAGAGGAACCGATATTGATTCAGTGTTTTGACCGTTTTATAGAGATCGTATTGGATCATTGGATCAATGTTTACTCGGTTGTAAGGTCTCCTCGTGGCCTTGGAATTGCATCTTTAAATGGTGGAATATCAACTTCATCATACCCTATTCTGTCTCTGAGTTTTTGACTTTCGATGGTGGGAGGCAAATAGCGGGGTCGTTGAAAAATGTGTGGCAAGCAGTTATTTGGGTTGCTGCTTATTTTATTTTGAAACTCAAGAATGCTTATATTTTTAAGGGGCTTAATTCTCACGTTGACCTTTTCGGCGACATCCAGTTTAAATCGTTTGATTGGATTGCTACCAAGCTCAAAGACCGGTCTATCTCTAAAACAGCTTGGTTTAAGTCCCCTTCTTTTGCTTTTTCTTGAGATTTGTCTGTCCCTTTGTTATTTTTGTTTTTGTTTTGGTGGTTGTTTGTTTATTTATGAGGTTTTGGATTGTTTCCCGTCTCTCGCAGATATGGCTGTAAACGAACTGAACATTCAGCGAACCGTTCATGAACTGTTCGGCAGGAAGTTCGTTTATTTAATAAATGAACGAACATGAACAATTTTTTTTTGTTCGTTTAGTTAAACAAATGAACATGAACAAAAGTCTCGTTCGTTCATTTATGTTCGTGAACGTTCGTTCATTTACCATTCGTTTATATTTCATTCGTTTATGTTCGTTTATATATCAAATTTAAATATATAATATTTTATTTATTTACTTTGAATTCAAATAATATTTATTTATGTTCGTTTATATTCGTTTATGTTCGTTTATATATCAAATTTAAATATATAATATTTTATTTATTTACTTTGAATTCAAATAATATTTATTTATGTTCGTTTATATTCGTTTATGTTCGTTTATATATCAAATTTAAATATATAATATTTTATTTATTTACTTTGAATTCAAATAATATTTATTTATGTTCGTTTATATTCGTTTATGTTCGTTTATTTACGTTCGTTTAGCATATTAACGAACGAACATAAACGAACACGAACACATCTAATTTCTAAACGAACAAACACGAACACAAAGATTTTCGTTCGTTTACTGTTCGTGTTCATTCGTTTGTTCAGTTAAGTTAAACGAACGAACATGAACAAACCTCCGTTCGTGTTCGTTCAGTTCGTTTACAGCCCTACTCGCAGATCTCTTTGTAGGGTTTGGTTTAATAAAATTTTGCCCTAAAAAAATGTCTTCAACCCATCCTACGTAGAATCCTAATTATAGAAGAGGAACCAATCTAGATGTTTTACAAAATATGATGATCATCTTGTAATTTTTAACGTGTAGAAGCAATAAATGTTTTCTAAAAACTACATGAACCAAATTTATAGTCAACTCCATTATTTATTTTAATAATTTTCAATATAATATAATTAGGGATTGTTTGGCAGTTGTTGAATAATTTGATTCAGAATTATTAAGTAGTCAGAATGATTAAGAAGCTCTTATGATATAGTGCAAAATGAAATATAATTGTTTACAATTAAATTAGAGCGTTTAATGGTTAAAAAAGACTCAATACACAAAATAATTTAGAGGTTTTAAAACTATTAAAAAACAGATTTTTTTTGTCAAACAAGATTCATCTCATAACAATTCTGAGACCTCGACTCTTGATAAAAGTAATTAATTAAAAAGAAATGGACTTTTTAGAATGAGAATATGGAAATGGAGGCACATGGATATACTCTACGCACAAATCGCCCAATGTCAAACTCAAACCCTAATCATTTGCATCGAATATTCCCACATTTCAATCATAATATCACCAAGCGGAGATAAACACCAACAAATTGGGAAATCCCCAATTTATGATTACCATATAATGATCAAGAAAAGTGCCTCAAAAGCTAATCCAACACGAAACGTATTAGGGTTTTTTTTCCTTCCCCAATTTCTTGCTTTGAATGCAGAGTTAAACTCCTTATTAATCGAATCCACAAGTTTCTATTGAAGCGGAAGGAAAGCAAGAAGGTTTTTGGTTTGATGGAACAAGAACAGATTGAAACAAGGTCGTTGTCTTCGTTCTCATCTTCAATGGGAAACGATGATAATAATGGTGAAAGAAAGGTGAAATCATTGGCACTGTCGTCAAAATTTCCATTAACGTTTTGGGAGATGGCGGGTGCATCTGGTGTTGTTTTGGGTTTCGCCGTTAGTCTCCTCGGAATTTACCTCACCTTGCCGGATTCCGATTACAGCTTTCTTAAGCTTCCAAGAACCCTAGAAGATCTTCATATTCTCAGGTATTTAATTTCTCATGTTATCCCTTTTTATGGATCGTTATTTATAACAAATTGGATCGATTTTTGTGTTCTAAATTGGGGTTTTTTCACTTATACAAGATTGGATTTTTAAATTATTTTCTTTAATCTGCCATTGAAATTTTAAATCTACATGATATTGATATGATTTGAGATGTTCGTTTTTTTTTTTACTGTTTCTGTCTTTTTGTTTTTGTAGCATAATTTATTTATTAAAAAATTCCTAAAGTTTTGGATGCTGTTTTTTTGGTTTTATTCTGTTTTAGGTGTTAGTGTATTAATGTTTTGAGTCTTTTTATTGATTGGTAAAATCCCTGTTACAAACCACAAGGTGGTGCGGGATTGGTTTGAGCTTGGCTCCAAAGGTCAAAAGTACCCGGAGGTCCCAGTTTAAATCCAAGAAGGAATAAAAATCCCCTTGTGGCCATGGAGGTTCAAATGTGGTGACTCCGAGCTATCTGCAAAGCAGGTGGTCGTCTTGGGATTAGCAGCTCGCATAGCAAGTTGGATATTCAGGTTAATAGAAAAAAAATCCCTGTTACAGACAAGGAAAAAATACACTCCAAGAAGGCAAGAACAAAGTTAGCATTCATTAATGGGCAAAATCTTGTTTTATTAACAAACATAGTGATAGCATCTGGTTGATTGTCTTTTAAGAGTTTTTCATCCAATAATTTTTAGTTTTTTATGGTTATGATTCTTGTATATACCGTATATAATATATAACAGTGGGGCAAGTTCCGTTATGATATGAGGGACAAAGGAAAGCGTGCCATGTGTCCTGACATTCACGATTGGCGATCATTCATCATTAATGGTGTAAAAAATTCACGTTCATTATTCATGATGTATGAGAACAAATGGGGACTCATGCCATGCTCCCTTGGTCACGACGGAAAACATGTTTGCAACTAAACTTTCCTCCAATTAACGTTTGCAACATTTAAATCACATTTTTGGATGGAATTTGAGGTCTAGAAGCAAATGCTTCTAATTTTCAGAAAATTTCAGACCAAAATCTTCAGTTTTTATTTCTTACTCCTGTGAAGTTTTGGATTTTATACGATTTTTGAAGTGTATTGATATCTTTTCCCCAGAGATCATCTCGAGAGCTATACAAGTGACTACACGATCCAGGTTCTGGTTGGCTATTGCACTGTCTATATCTTTATGCAAACTTTTATGATTCCGGGGACTGTTTTCATGTCGCTGCTTGCTGGTTCCCTTTTCGGGGTCTTAAAAGGCGTAGCTCTCGTTGTGTTTGCTGCTACCGCTGGTGCATCTTCTTGCTACTTTCTATCGAAATTGATAGGCCGACCCCTTATCTTGTCTCTGTGGCCTGATAAATTGGTGTTCTTCCAAGATCAGGTGAGGTTCAAATGCTCTATCCATCCTTGAAAGTCAAAAACCTTTTATGTGGTGGAGTCCCACATCAGCTAGACACAGATCATCAAACCTGTATATATATACACACACACACACACACACACATATATATATATATATATATATATATATATAGAGAGAGAGAGAGAGAGAGAGATGAAGGTTCAAATGAGAACGCTAACTATTTAAGAAAACAAGAAAAAGGTCGTTAATGTACAACATCACATGTGGTTTTACATTAAATGGAAGCGGGCGACTTTTGAGGCCGCTTCGCAAGGCAAAGTCGCCTGGGTCATATGTATGATTTGTTACGTGAATCATATATGATTTTGTACATTAACGATCATTTTCTTATTTTCTTAAATAGTTAGCGTTCTCGTTTGAACTTGCCGCTATATATGTATATACACATGGGTTTTGCAAACCAACTAACTAATACAAACCAATCAATTGAGATATTCATGGAAATGATGACGATTCATTATTATGACCAAGATATTTAAGGAAAATGATCAAAGTTCATTTTATTATCATCAACATTTTAGATTAGGAAACAATGGAAATATATTATGGAACCATATATTCATTAGACTAGATGGACGGTTGAGATTGGTTTGTACTAATCAGGTGGTTTCCAAGAAAATGAGACTCATATATATATGTATGTATGTATGTATTGGATCCTCTTCTCTCTATAAGGGTTTTTAAAGGGAGATTTAAAGGGTTCTGTATATATTATAGCATATCTGATGCTATGATTCAAACCTGTTTGTATGTAGGAGTCTCTCCTCTCTCTGTAAGGGCTCTTTTAAAGAGAGATTCAAAGGGATTTCATATATTATAACATATGTGATGAAGCCATCGATTAATTTTTATTGTTGTTTAATTAGGTGGCTAAAAGGCGAGATGGGCTGCTGAACTACATGCTTTTCTTAAGGTTGACCCCGACTCTGCCTAATACATTTATTAATGTTGCTTCGCCAATAGTCGATGTGCCTTATCATATATTTCTACTGGCAACTTCCCTTGGGATCATTCCCGCTGCTTATGTCACCGTCAAGGTATTAATCGTTCTTAAACTTTCTTTCGTTTGTTTCCTTGTATTTGAGATTACAATGCCCATTTATCACTCACCTAGTTGCGTGCCCGTGTGTTCACTTATTCATAATGAATATTGTTAGATGGCTGTTATTTGACATGTGATTTAGGCATGATTTGATTTGATTTGATTATATTTGATTTGATCTTGTTTCCTTCTATTCTACAATGATGTACTATACAGATCATGGGTTTGCCTCTTAATAGAACACATATCAGAGCTTTCGTATTAGGTCTTGTGAGAGAGTTTTGGTGATTTTTCGTGATTATTATTATGTCTTTTGGTGTTGATGGTTGATAGAACTCGGATTCTAACTCATTAATAACTCATTAATAATT